AAGAGGAACCACCTTTGGTGGGAAGGTAACAGTGTTCTGTGCACCTTTGGCATTTAGTCATGCTGGCTACATGACCACAGAGACATCTTTGGACAGTGCTGGCTCTTAGGCTTTGAAACGGAGATGAGTACTGCCCCCTAGACTCGGAAACGACTAGCACATATGTGTGAGGGGAACCTTTACCTTATTCCTGCAGATAAATTGCTTTCAGATTCACTAAAGCATTCTTGCTGTGTCATCACACTGAATACATTTAATTAAAAGGAAAGCCTGATAGTTTATGTGTGTTCATTGTTTCTTTAATATCCACCTTCTGCGGTATCTCTTTCTAGCAAAATTCCTCAGGGGGTCCATGAAGATGGTCGTTCCTGGGAGCACCAGTGTAATTCAGCCGGACCATAGCCTTGGGACGGAATTGAGCCGAAGCTCAGCAGAGAATTCAGTGATGGGTCCTGATACAGAGTCAATGGCTGATCAGGTGGGCCCTGAGCTGGAAGAAGTGAGGAAATTGCAAGAGCTTGTGAGGAGGCTTGAGCTCCAGAACCAGCAGCTGAGAACTAGAAGCTTGCGAAGTGTGCCGGAGGCCAAAATGCTGAGCCAAGCTGATGCTGGAGTGGATAATTGCAATTCCAGGCTCAACGGCATGGAAATGAATAATAGCATCAACGTACTAATGGATAAGCAGGAACTGCAAATCGTGGCAGACCTGCATTCAGCCCTGAGTAAAATAAGGTCAGACGCAGAGGAAAGTGGTAAGTTCTTTAAAAAGGATGCAGAGGAGAGCACAATACATCACGGTTGTGAAAACATTTCTGACCAACAGCCCTCCAGCACAAAGTTTGTGAGCAGTACCCAGACGCAGAATAGCGATGCTAACACAAACGACGTCCCTCGTTGGGATTGCAACCCCACGGTTTTGCTAGAAGATTTTGCCACATCTGTTGAGCCAGTGCTGCAAATGAAGGAAGCCAACACAAACGCGGAAGATCCCTTGGATGAAACAGCTCTGGATGAAGTGGAATTACTGGAGTTAGAGAATGGCAGCGATGAAGAGGACAGCTGGTATGTACTATATGAGATTACATATTGTAGCTCTAAAGGATTCATGATAAAAGTGAATAAGGCTATAATCATATCTTCCAGAGCATATTATTATTCTGTTTCTCTTCAGTCCACTGGCCCTCAAAAACATCAGTGAGCGCAGCAGTGTGACAGGAAAATGATCAGTGTGAAAGAAAAGAGATTTAATTTGTGAAAAAAAAACTCTGGTCTAAAATGTTTTAAGAGAAACAGAAAGGAAAACAGGTGTGGGAAACCAGGAAGGCTATATTTCTAATCAAGATTGCTGCTTTTCTCATAGGAGATTGCCAAATGGAATGAAGACTCTTGACAAATATAGTTCCTTAAAGTATTTCTATTAGTATCACAGGTATTTGCATAATAATTGATCTGTACACATAGCAAAACGTAAGATGTAAAGGTCACCTTAAGCAACAATTCCTTAAGTAACCATTCATTAAGCTCATTATTGAAGAAATAATTGGATTATATGAAAGGGAGGACTGGATTATTGGATCCCCCACCGGGCAGTAGAAGATGCTTGCTAGACGTAGGAAGGGGGCTATACTTGAAAAAGGGGCTGAAGGCTTTTTTAAAAAAAATGAATAAGTTTTGCTATATGGATTCAACGTTATAATTAACTCCTATGAATTAATTCAGAGGATAAGTTGCTAGGCCAATTTTTGTTAAAATCACACATATTTCCCTAATTGCATCTTGAAAAAAAAAGTAGATAAAAGTAGATATTGCATTGCTACTACCCAATCCTTGTTTCTTTTACACAAACATTAAAACGT